AAACTACAAACCATGAAAATAGAAATATTCTCCACCGTTAGATATGAAACAATGAACAACCGCTAAGCTTATGAGCCAAGTGAGGAAAACGAATGAACTCGCTCCAAGGACAACTGGAGAAGAAGCAAGGAAGTAAATGAATTTATTTGTTTTCATGTTAATTGTCCTGCAGTAATTCGTTAGGGGAGGAAGCTTTCTCTTTTCTTCCGGGTCCTTTTAGAGTAAGCGGAGACAAGCCTGGGGCGAGTAAGAGGAAGCATGTGAGGATGCCGAGCCTCAAATCGATGCTTTTGAACGATTCTTTCAGATTTCTGATGGGATTCCTAGGTTTTCATGACAAGGGAATTTATAGGTATTCAGTAGTTTTTTATGTAGATATTTGTGTTTTTAACCCTTTGAACCCTGGGAGTGACCAGTATTTAATTTCTCCTTACAATAATACTGCTGAGTCATTCATTAAGATAATGAGAATAAGGCAAATGATCACCAACTTAAGAAGCTTTGATTATTGAACAAATTCTCCTTGTCAGTACCAGAGGAATTGTACAGAGAAAAGTATGGAGAATATAGATACTGATGTTAGGGTGTAGAGAGGTTTAGGTTTCAGATAATGCAAAATGATCAAATTCCTTCTGGCATTAATAACAAATCAGAAAGCACATCTTGCACAGCAGTATTTTCAATAAGGGACTCTTTGTTTTGGCAAAAACGAGCTTTTCTGTTTGGAAAGGGTCGTGAGAGTGAAAAATTTGTTACAACTAACAAGTTACAGTGTGTTATTTTCTGTTGCCACCATCCTCTGGATGAAAAGATGGTGACATGATGTACATTTAAATAGAAGCAAGTTTAGCAAAACTGGGTGGGAAAGAATACATTTCCCTTTCATTCCCAAATCTCAGTAGTAATTCTCCTCACCATCTGTTGTACAATTCTTATGTTAGTTTAGAGAATTTGGCATTGGATCAACCAATAATCCCTAATTGAAATTTTTCTTTATTCTCGATCATCACTTGCCTGCTTGATATTGTTTTGATATTGTAAGGAGAAATTTTGTCTTGGTCACTTATGGGAGTTAAAGGTTTACATTGACTTAATGAGATAGGATAATTCTCAACCAATTCTTTAAATTAACAAAAAACAAACAAACCAATGCTAATAAGAAATGTTTCTCTTTTTATTGCTCACGTTTTCCAAAGTAATGGCTCGTGTTAAAACTATTTCCATGCATGGCTATCCTGAACATATGAAGTAACAGAAGCCACTAAAGAACTGATATTATCTACTCAACATTCCATCTATCAACATCATGATCAGGCACACAGCCAAACATTATTCTTTAAGAAAAAGTTCTGATTTTAAGGTAAACGTAACAAGTACTAAAGTATACCACAAATAATAATCTTAGTTACATCTGAATCAGCCTTCACTCTGACAGTTGTTTTCTAGATCTTACTTAGTAATAAGAATAAACTTATATACATGCATATCCCAATGCTAGGGAGTAAGTTCTAGAAACCATGCATTTGTATCTGGTCTGGTTTGGCCAATTTCAGCTGTTTCAGAAAATCACTGATATTCTGACGCTGGTCACCTTGTAGCTGTATCACCTCCCCATATTCTGGGTTTTCAATAACTGTTCTATTTCAGTTAAATTCCTTCAAAGGCGAAAAAAGAAAAAATATTGAACACATGGCCCTTTTTGTTTCAAGAATAGTTATCGCTATCTACAGCACTTCCATGCTACAGTTTACTTGCATTCAGAATATGGCGGTTTCAGAACACGCCAATGAATAATGATGAGGATCAAAATGCACCAATGACAGCGCACCAAAACACTAACAATAACAAGGTGTTACAAATAGCCACACATCAACTTTCAACTTCCTTACCTGACGAGGTATAGCAGTTGCAACATCACAATCAATACACAGTTGATTAGCTTGACTCTTACATCTTGGGACAAATGATTAAATTTCAATTCTCAATAAAAACAAAACTTTCTATAACTTTCCATAGCATAGGTAATGGTAAAACAGGGAGGATAAAAATGATTTAAGTAGAAAATTGTATTTGGTATTTTAGTCAGTGGGTCAGTGTCTTTAATAGGTGTATTTAGTGGTGCAAGAAAATTGATGGATTTAAATTATATGGATAATAGTGTTGTTGTTGTTTTTTTTATTAACTGTCAAAGGGACACTCTTGTTTGACCTTGATTAGTAAATGATGGGTGGCTATGGTTTGAGCTCTTACCCAGGCCAGAGTTGGGGGAGAGGCTGGTTTGGTTGATAACGTTACAAATATTTAACAATTAATCTCCTTCAGGTGGCTGGTATATCGGCTGATAATGTACGCCACAGAGACATTGTCCAAAAAATGAGTATTTGACCCAGAAGCAAAGCTTTGAGGGCAAATATGACATTTTTAGGACAATCTCTTGGCCAAGTAAATTATTACCTGAATACCAGTAGGGCAGAAGCGCTTTTATTTATTTTATGACCCTCCCATTAATTTTTGTTTGACGTATTGACAGCAATTTTGTTGACTTTTTTGTACTTCCTAGAACAGTATTTGAGATCAGATTTTTAATTGTAGTACCTGCTGAATCTACAAAATGAGTTCGTTTTTATTCCAGGCGATTAATTAAGATGAAAAATATGAAACTCTTGAGACAGCTCTTTTATGTTGGCTTTATTTCTTTTGAAAGGGAAAAAAAGGAGGACAAACATCGACGTAAATAGGGGTTATTGTAGGATAACTATCCAGTGATTTTGTACCACGTGACGTAAAGTAGCCAATAGAGTCGCGTGAATTTTAATGTGTAAGTTATAAGGTAAAATATTTTGATAAATACAATGTATGTGAGAAATATGACCTTTCACAAACCTTTTTAGGGAGGCCACCTCTTGCACAACTAAATTACAGAGATGCCAACCTCTGGAGATCTCAAATCTGGAGATTTTTTTTCAGACTAGCACCCCTCCCGACCGAATTCGCCAATGCGGCCCCTCCGGAAAATTTCATTTTTGATTTGGACCCCTACAAGCAATTTTGCGGGAAAAACGTGGATATATCTGTCAGGGTCTTCAATTGGTTGAATACTCATCCAATCAGACTCTCGCTTATATAAAGGAAGGGGACAGGGGAGCGGGAGCCCGGGAGAAGAGGGGACGGAAGAGGGCAGGAAGCGGGAGAACAGGGGGCGGGAAGCGGGATCTATATGAGGGTGGGAAGCGGGAGCAGAAATAAAGAAAGCAATAGTTTGTTCTTTATTACTGGGTATTATTCAGTCAAAAACACTTATCTAGCAAAGTTTTGAAATTTCCATTTGACATCCACCAATGCTTAGAAGAAAATTTTGCAATAGTTATTACATTACACAGTGGACTGAGACTTTCGTCTCTATAACGAGATGTCAGAAGCGATGGTCAAACTGTGATAACCAGGTTAGTGAAACTTAGTTTAATTAAGAAAACTGACCTGTAATAACTTTCATCGGGACCCAATTTACAAAAAAATGAACCAGAAAATGAACAAGAATGTTAAGTTTTGGCACAGTTTGAAAGTTACACCCGGGTGTCTGATCCTCTTGATTAAGCTGAACACTGGAGCGATACTATGAAGGGTGGGAGTCGGGAGGTAAAGGGGCACAAAAGTACGGGAGGCGGGAGAACGTGGTACGGGAAGCGTCTGTCTCCCCCTACCCCCCCCCCCCCTTTCCAGGAGTAACAAAAAAGAAACTTTCTTCTTTTTATTCGCAACAAATAACGTGCATCGCGCAAGAAAGTGAAGCCAGAAACCGTAATACAAGCATAAGAAGCCAGATGATTTTAGAATTTTGGAACATATGGAGCTTAAATCTTAGTTTTTTGCGGGCAACTGATCCAAACTTCCTTTGATCCGGGAGTTTTGGTCACCCGTAGGGAAGAGCGAGAGATTGACTCTGTATAAGGGAGACACCCCGATAATCCGAGGGAGTTGGCATATATGAAATTAGAGGCATTTGATTTCCACAAAGACTTTCCTTTCAAGCTCCGACTGCGACAAAACACTATATACCCGTTTAAATTTTAAAATTGAGGTGGTCTGGTAACTACTATCATGGGGAAATGGCGCCTTTGCTAATTTTAGATTGTTTTGAAATTTTGCGCCACAATTTTCTCGTCGATCGGGCGATCGATCAATCAGTTGTACTCTCGTCGACTAAAGAGGACCATTTAATTCTGAGGAGAGTTTTCCGTAGCTGAAATGTCGAATTTGGAAGGAGCTTTTGCGCCAATTGCCGTCCAAAGGTATGCGATTCTCCCTCGGGGATCGATGTTTGACTTAGTTTAAAAGTTTCTCTGACACTCGGCAATTTGACTTCCACTCCCGATTACTTTTGGTTAAGAAGTCGAGCTTTTGAATTGTAGAAAGAGAAGATGGGAAGATTTCCGCATAGCTTCATACTTGGATAAAGAAAACAATAGCGAAAACAATAGATTGCCTTTAACACCACGGCTTTATCCAAGAATCATGAGTATGGAGTTTTTCGGAAATCTCCGACTTTCTTTCACACAATCCAAAAGGATCCATGTCGCACAAGAATTAAGGATAACATGACATCGAAGGATAACTGCAGCAGTCATAGAGATGATGAATTCTTCAGTACCACTGTTGCATATCAAGGATGAGAAGTTTGACTTCGGAACCGCAAGCTTTGATCGGGTTAATCTAACGCTTCCATGAAAGGCAGTCTATGACTGCTCGTGCCTTCTGTTGTATAGTTGTAGAGTATTGCAGTAATAAACCTAGTGTGGTTTAAAATGCAGAGGGTTAATGAAAAGCTCATGTGGATGTCAAACTTGTGACAAAAGGGAACTTAGAACAGAGTTTGTACACAGGTCAATTGACAGGCTGGGGACAGGGAAGGAATTTAATAGATTAGGTACACTTATTAAATGTGCATCAAATTTATTTTACCTCAAAACTTCACATCTCGTCCACTTTGCATACCTGGCACTATGGATAATACCTACTTGTCTAACTCTGAAGGTATTAGGTTTCAGCCCTGGCCACATCAACTTTTTATTTTTTTATTTATTTATTTTTAATTTCAATTTAAATTATTTTTCAAAGGATTTGCTGAATATGTTCAGAGTAAATGCACATGTGTGAATGTGTGATGACTTAGCTGTTATGTTCAAATTAAAAACAATGTTAAAATAAAGAGGTGAGACCCTGTGAAAAAATTTAACTAAACCCAAAAAGAGTGAAGAAGAATCCTAACAAACCTGATTAGATCTGTTCCATGATGGCCAGTGTCAGAACTGAACCAGGATGGGTCACAAGAGATGTAATATGAGTGTCTCACAATAGTCCACCATTTTGAAAACTGTGCAAGGTTTGGGGGAAGGTTTACAGATGTACAGGACACCATGACATAGTGTCCATGGCCCTCCTAGAAGGATTGCACAGTAGGCACAAAAATGGTGGCTTAGTGCATTTATTTCTATGAGGGACCTTCAGCTCACCTCACAGGCCACTCAAAACTCATTACACAGGGAGGGTTTTGTTCCCAGGTTATGCTGGAGGAACAAACTACAGGAGCAAAGCTCTTTTGCATGTATCAGTTGGGTATATTTCATCCTCTGAGGCAGAATTTTCATCCCATAAAATGAAATGGGCCATTAGATTAACCCAGGTATTTCAAAGGGTGGATAGCCTCTATCCAATGGTTTAATAGCTATTCAGTGGATAATTGTTTTATAAAATGTATTGCATTATTCACTGGATAGAGATTTATCCAGTTAATAGACATTTATCCAGTTAATAGTAATATCCACCTTTTGAGCAACTGGGGCCAGATGAAAAATTGGGTGTAAGGTCTTGAGGTTAATTGAACAAACCTGAAAATGCTTGTCTGCATGCACTGGTTGTGCAAATTGAAACATGCCCCAAGAGCAAAACCCTTTGAGTATAATGATAGTACTCTAGGTCACATTTGCATATTTTGATTTGCTTTATGTAAAAATCAACATGGGAGAACCAGAATGTGTACACAGACTAGCTGTGATGACATTTTATTTTATTTTTATTTTTTTTCTAGCATCACAGACTGGCAAAGATGGCAAATTCAAGCCTTGTTACCCAGGTAACTTCTCTGTTTCAGTTCAGTAGCTGCATCAATTACACTGAAGATTTGCAATCATTATATAAAAGCATGTTTCTGTAAAGCTACAGTTATCTTGTGAATTCAAAATCTAAAAACAGTGAATTAAAAAAGGTTTTTAAGCATGTGTAGCTTGGACTAAAGAAATATGACACAAAAATAAATTGTTATGGCAAAATTTATCAAATGAATACATTTTTTTTTCAATTTTAATTGCTATTGATTTCTTCTTTATAATTTTCTTTCTGGTAGTTCCATTACTTGCTGGAAGATACAAATTTATTCAAGTTATTGGTGAAGGGGAATCATCACTCTTGATTTCAGCAGAGGTAAGGTATACAAAATGCACATACAGACTGGAAATTATGGTTTTTAATTGCAGTGCTGTAATTGTCTCTGAAAATACCAGTACCTTGTGTTATACCTGTCAACTTTATACCTACATTTATATGAATTTTTTCCGAAAGTGTTGTAAAACATCATTTTTGAAGAACCTATTAATTACTTTCAGCATATGGTTAAAAACTTGCCACTTAACCCTTTAACTCCCAGAGGTGATCAAAAAGTAACTTCTCCCTTTAATATCTGTACATTATATAGCAAACAGGTAATGAGATACTCAAACTGATCAGGAAGAAGTTGTTGTCTTGATCTAACACCAAATTCTAGTAATTAGTTTAATAGAAAAGATGCAGCAGCTAGAGGGGAGAATTAACAATCTGATCTAAGGAGTTAAATGGGAAAAGACATTCAAAGGTGTTTCAAATGCAATTCAGAGGTGTATGATATGTTTCAAGATAACCTCTTCCATAACTGCAAAGGTCCATTCCTTCTAGAAACAGCCCAAAACATTTGAAACCTAAGGGCCTGTGCTGCTTAATTCCATTCTCAGCCTCTATTATAAACAATAGTTTCCTCTCTGGTTATGGAACTTATTTTGTGATTGGACCAAAACTGATCAGTTCACTCTGCATGCATGTATATTCACCAGAGCTTACATTCATAATAATTTTCTTTGTAAATGATACCTACCATTTTGAAAAGAAGCAAGTTGCTCTAAAGATAATGAATTTGGATTATTCCAGACTTGGAGCTCAGGTACACTGTAAGTGTCTATAGAGTTTAATATGCATACAGCTGTAAGTGATAAGGTACGTTTCAGATAAGCAAGCTACAAATGAATCTGTTATATGCAGATCTGAGAGTGCTGCTGAAACTGCAACTACTGAAAAGAGCTTGCATGCAAGCATGTGCACCTTGACATGAGGTATACATTCTAGTGGAAACTGTACAAGATGTAGTGTACATGTATATGCAAAGATCTTTGGGCTGATTTCCTACAAGGTAAATTAGGTTAACTTACTATCCACTTTGTATTACATGAGTTTACTTTTTATTTACAAAACTGTTGCAGGAGGCAGATTGCATTCAACAGCTCAACAAGGCTGATCCTCTCCATGTTTCCAGAACTGTCCAGTTGTTTGTAAGTCATGAATGTACACATGTACAATCCTTTTTGAGTACTGAATCACATGAAACAAAATATCTGCATGTTGTTAAATAGGACTGATTTTATACAGTCACTGTAAGTATCACTCCACCTTTTTGATACCATATGAAAAATCATGAAAAGAGAAGAAACTGACCCTACTGAAGGACAAAAATGATGTAAACTCAACAGTATTAAACACCACTGGCCTTAACTGACAAGGCAATTTGACCAATGACCTTGGATTGAGAATGGTGAATGCTTTGCCTTTCATCCATCAACTTGACAGAGTGGTGCAAACTAGTTTTTTTGCATGTCAACACTTAGTTGGCAGTATCAAACATGCATGAAAAATTATTGTAATTTACTTGTATGCAGTTACAGCTTTTCTTGTAAAACACCGCAGTTTTAATATAATGATTTCCAATTGGTTCTTTGTTTTACAATAATTGTAACATAGCACTGATATATTTGGTACATGAGTACAAGAATGTATTCTATGTAGAGGACCACAGTTCACTGACCTTGCATTTTTGCCAATTTGACATATTTGCTTGTGGATTTTTAGAATGTTTTCAGTTTTGAGGGCCATTACTGCTTGGTTTTTGAGCTGTTGAGACCTCAGCCACTCCATCAATACTTTCAGGTTGGTTAAATTATAAACAGTTTAATTTAGTATTATCAACTGAGTTGATAACGTAAATTGGCCTCTGTTAAGAGTTTCAAAGCTGATGTTTCAAGCATTAGCCCTCTGTCAAAGGGAATGGTGAAGGGCTAACATTCGAAATGTCAGCTTTGAAACTCTTAATGGTGGCTAATTTACGTTATCAATTCAGTTAATAATACCAAATTACCTTGTTATACTCTCCCACTGATACAGTGCCACGGTTTGCTTTAGAAATTTACTGGCTTTATTGAATTATAAACATGCTGTTAAGGAATCCAAGAGCTTTCCCTTTAAATCAATTACTCTACTTTGTACTGTTGTATCTCTACTGATGTAAGTATTATATTTTAAATCATCTTCTTTACAGAAATGTCAGTTTGATAACGAGGTAAGAGTGTTTAATGTATTACCATCTGTGCATTGTATGTTTTCATTGTTAAATTGATTGTCATCTTTGTTAACAACATGATTGATTTAATATACATATTTTTGGCAAGATCATCATCTAACCATGTACATTCTGTAATATCAGTCACTCAACAGTGTTTTCTTGATTTTGTTTACTAACAGGATGACAAACTGAAAGTCATCAGGAAAATAACTTTTCAAGTGAGAAAACCTTTTTTTTTTTAATTCTTATAACTACTTTTGATTTAAGTTATTTCAAATACAATTGCATCAGTTTTCTTTTGTCAGCTATAAGAACTTACAAAGACCATTTTAAAGTTAGCTTTAATGAAGATGAAACTTGTTGTGCGTCAAATTTATTGAAATCAAAATAATAGTTTTTATATAATAAATTGATGTGGTTATTTGCTTGTAGCTCTTACAAGCTCTTGGATTCCTAAGGAGGTAAGATTATCAATAGGTGTTCTTTTTAGACTCTCTAGAATTACTCATCTGTACCCACAAGTGGCTTCATTTTATTTCATTGTCAAGGGACTCTTCTCTTGCCCATCTTTTGGTGATGCCATCATGTTGTTCCAGGTTGGAAGTGGGAAGTTTATTCTGCATTTTGGCAAATAAAAGGGGATCTTTTTCAAAAGGGGGTGTTCATTTGAGAGGAGTGACTGATTTCAGGATTTTATGTGCTTTGATCTCATTCAACTTTCCATATGAATCCACAGACAGAATGTCATCCATGCTGACTTGAAACCAGAGAACATTCTTTTTGAAGAAGGTGAAGTGGGGTGTTTGCAACAAATTGTCAAAAAATTTGATTTAACTTAATGGACTTAAAAAGTCTTCCTTTTTAAAGATAGTTGTAATATTTTGATCTGGTTAAATATAAATAACAGCTGTAGCATTTTGTAAGAAAAACAGACCAACATTTTATACAGATTCTGAAGATACACAATACAGTGGTCAGTGAAAGACTACTTTGATGAATACTCAGAGTTCATATCAGCTACAATTATTTGCCTAACAAAAAATATCATGAATATACCATCCCATTTTTGTTTCTGTCATCATGTATATATGTCATCATGATGGTGCCTGGATGCCTTGTATAGGGCCCCATGTCTTAGTTGCAAACATTTTGATGCATGGGAGCAGTAGGCTTGGAATTTATGGACTAAACCTTTTATGGACGTAGCCTTTTTTACATTTCTGACAGCCAACCTCCATTGAGAGATCTGGTTGTTAATACACTGTAATAAAACAACTTTTTGTACACTTAACAATTTTAGTCACAGACCTGAAGGTGAACAGTGGTGGATATTTACCTCACTGCTTCGCAGCTTGGTGAATATCCACCACTTTCACTGACACTGACAGAAGTGAATAAATTTGTTAGTATATACCACATAGATACCAAAAAATTAGTTTATTTCTTTCAATATACCAAAAACTGGTCAGAAATCAAACTCTTAACATGTGATTTTGTCTCATTGGCTGCATGGAGGTGAATAGTACTTGGTATTCACTAAATGGAACCAGCCAATCAGCACATGCAAAAAGCACTATTTACTTGTTTGGTGTGTACTAAAATTGTATATTATATTAACACACTGTAGGTGACGAAACCAAGATAAAAGTTGTTGACTTTGGAAATGCAATTCACTGGGTTCATAGAGAGGTACATGTAATTTCTATTATTTGGTGATTTTAGTGACTTAATATTAAATGTGTGCAGCTAGATGCATCAGAATTGTTGTACTGTAGACTTTATTAACCCTTTACACCCTAACATCAATATGCATATTCTCTATACTGCTCTCATACATTTGCTGAAGCACTGACAAGGAGAATTTCTTTAAAAATCAAGAGCTTTATAAGTTGGTGATCATTTCCTTGATTCCCGTGACTTTAATGTTTGATTTAAGGGTGATATTGTAAGAAGAAATTAGAAGCTGATCAGTCTTAGGGGTTAAAGGGTTAAAAGATCCTATTCAAAGTATAATGAAAGGCAAATTCTGTACAGAGGACAAGGGCTCATACCAGCTGTGAAAACTGTTTATAGAGAATTGTGTACTATGTGTTTACCCCTTTAACATGTAACTTCTCCCTAGAATATCCATACTTTATCCAGCAAACAGTTAATGAGAATACACAAACTTATCAGGTAGAAGTTCTTATGTTGATCAAGTATCAGATTCTCATAAGTAATTTATAAGAAAATGTGGGGCAGCTAAAGGGGAGAAGCTACAGCCATTTTGATCACCGTGACAAGTGAAAATATATTTGGTGACTAAAATGTTGGCAAAAGTCACCAATTGGTGACTAACAGATAAAAAAAAAAAAAAAGAGGCAGCCAAAAATTTTTAAATGGCGACCATTTTAAATTTGAAGGTTGCCAAAAGGCAACTCTTTGGAAAAATGAGCTTGGAGCTCTGTCAGCCACCATTAGTAATGACATATGATAATTATTCAAAATATGTAATTTAATTCTTATTTTCTTCTGTTTAATTCTGTCAGGTTTCCTTGTATTATGATGAGTTTGAACTACAAACTTTACTTTACAGAGCTCCTGAGGTAAAGTAAAGATATTGCTGTTTTCATGAATTTGGAGACAAAATTAATTTTACATGTAGGTTACATGCATGCAACTCCAGTGTTTTCCTAATCAATCCAAGGGAAATAAAGCTAGATTAAACTATTTTATTTGGACTTGCATGAACTGAAGTACTCTGAAAGATGATCAGTGAAGTTCTGCAGTTTTGTGTTTCATAAAACAACTTAATGTGGTTGGCCTGTTGCAGATGGAAAATTCTGTTCTGTGGTGACTATCATCTCAAGCAATGTATCAGAAAACATATTTCAATTCACACAATTATTTTACCATGATTGTATGTCAGGTGCAAATAGATGGGGGATGTACATATTAGGGCTGTTTTTAAGTGTTTGTTTGACACTTGAATTTTAAAGTTCAGTCTGTGGAAGAAGGTCCCACTAAATGTTGTTTAATGCAATGAGGTGCAGTGTCCTCCACTTGATAATGTTGATGGCAGTCAGTTGAAACTGAAAGCACTGTGTCAATTCTTTCCAGGTGATGTTTGGTGTTCCCTTTGGCCCTGAGATTGACATTTGGTCTTTGGGATGCATTGTAGCTGAGGTTGGTTAATTGACTTGTATGTTCTCACCATAATTAAAATATCGTTAATGATTATTAGACCATCAGTCAGAGCTAATAACAGATGATGCTTGACAGTTTTATGATGGATATTTCTCTGTAAGGGGGGAGGAGAACTCACCCAGCCATTAATGTTACTGGTGAGGAAATGAAATAATGTCCTTTTAATATGAACATTGGTTTCAGTTGTATATAGGCAAACCTTTATTTCTGGGAGGAAATAGGACTAAAGTGTTGCAAGAGGTATGTTTTTGTTTTGTTTTTTTTATTATTGGCACTTTTACAAGCTGTTTATGACCTAAAGTAACTACTTTCCATGCTTGGTTGCAGGTAACCAGTATTCTTGGTCCCATACCTTGGAGTCCATTCCATACTGGAAAATTTTTTGAAGATTTGTCACAGTTTATAGGTCACCACAACTCAGGTAAATTCAAGTTTAAGATGATTCAAATGTAATCAAGTTATCTCAAACTTTTTTGGTAATCCTTACTTAGTCCTCAACATCATTTAAATAGTCTCTGCAACTATTTCATAAATCCAGGTGCACAACACTTTTTTGGTAATCCTTATCTAGTCCTCAACATTAGGTGCACAACTTAAATAAACAATTGATTTAACCCTTTAACTCCTAAGAGTGACTAACATCCAATTTCTCCACACAACATCACCCATGAATCAAACATCAAGGTCATGAGAATAAAGGAGATGATCACCAAAGAAGCTCTTGATTGTTGAACAAATTCTCCTTGTCAGAGCCTTAGGAAATGTCTAGAGAGTAGTATGGAGAATATGCATACTGATGTTATGGAGTAAAGGGTTAAGATACATTAGCAAAATAGCAAAAGACGACTTATCCTTTATACGAGGGAGGAACCATTGGAAAGAGAGCGATGCTTAGAGGTGGTTCAAGTGAAAATTAAAAATAATTCATACATGGGAAGATTTCTGAAAAAAAACATCATGCACAATGAGATGTCCAGAAAAAAAGTATCCTTTCATTCACCTTTCCAACTATTTCTGCTCCCAAAAAATGAATCAACAAAAACGTCCATAAATACAATAAATTTTCATGGGAAAAAAATCCCACATAGAAAATACTGTAGGAATCAACACATGTAGGCTCTTTACTCACTTAAGACTTTTTTTTCATTGCTTTTAGAGGACAATCACCTGAAATGTGTGAGTAATGTGATGCTAAAACTCCATAATTCAAGAAATTTCTCTTTTGCACGTTTCTTAGTTGGCTTGCTGAAGTATAAACCAGGTAAGTATACGGAATTATCATAGTTTGTGTAACTTTTACTTGAAACACTTTGTTTGTTACAGTCGTTATCCTGCAAAACAATGCCAAACGCACTGACACGTGAAAAACAAAAAACCAACCTTTGTTCTTTGCTTTGTATCACGATCTCAGGTGAAAGACTTACACCTTATCAAGCTGCTGCGCATCCATTTTTGGCGCCAGAGTGTTCCTTTGCAAATTTATTGCCTCAACAAGGAGATAAGAAAACAGGTTTGTTCTTGCCTTCCATTGAACTGCATAAATGCAAATTGGCCCTATGCCGTCGCCATGAAACGAACTTCTGACAAAGAAATTTACCTTTCACATAGGAATCACCTTTTTTACAGTTTCTCAGACTTCGTCGTTTATGTAGTGACGACTCTGATTTTTCTGAAAAATCAGAGGCAACGTGCTAGTTTTTCGATAAACGTGGCTATCCTGTTTCTGTCGTTCAAGCGGGCCACCGCCGTGCCCAACAAATTGATCGACATTCAGCACTACAAACGGTTCAGAAGGAAAATGCCGATCGCATTCCATTCACTCTCACATTTCACCCTCACAACCACGCAGTTGAATCTATCATTCTTAAAAACTTTCAATTACTTCAAAACGATTCAGAGACTGGTACGATCTTTTCGCAACCTCCACTAATTTCATTCAAACGTGACAGAAACATAGGCAACTTTTTGATCAGAAGTTCATTTCAAACCAGTGACTAACCTGGAACTTTTAAATGCGCTCGCTCACGATGCAAAACTTGAATGAAGCAAGACTTGTTTTCATCCGACATCTCCCTGGAAGGTGTAGGGCAGTTAATTTCAAGTTTGATTAAGGTATTGGGAAACCTTTATCAATCAAAATATAATAAAATACCTCTGTTACGTTATTTCCAGATGCTGGAAGCTGCGCAGACATTTCGTTTCCTACTGAGTATAACTTCAAACCATACGTTGACGAGGAAGTTAAAAGGCAGCATTTTTCTGGAACTGAACTCTTAAAGAAGGGAACTACTGTAACTGCTTCTTCACCAAAACACTTTCAGAGCAAACAGGAGAATGCAACATCTCTGAGGACTGGAAATTTACATTGTTCTCAAAGAGAAAAGGTGACAATTAATGAGAAATCTCGTCGGGAAGACCAGTTGCTTCTAGAAAATTTCAGTTATGCCATGGAAGGTCCTCTTGCCACAGGATACCCTAAATCAACTCACCAACAGAACGAGACGTGTGCCGTTTTTAAAGGAAATACATGCACTGATGATAAACAAGTCTCGGACAGGCTCATGTCTACTCTCCTAACTCCGACAAATCTTTCTTTGGGAAAAATTTCAGAAAAAAAAGAAAGGTGTAATGAGAAGGATTATTTGCCAGCAGAAACTAATATTACTTGTCCTAATAATGAGTTCGAAAGACCTTCGGCGAGATTCGTGTACAACAAAAGCTCCTGTTTTAAGCGCAAAAGTGATGTCTTTAAAGACACTCATGTAGAAGACGGAAGCCTCCAAAAGTCTCACGAACTTTCTTTATTTGGGGTTAAGAACTTTGGAAGCACAAACTTACTTGAGCATCACAACAGATTTAATATTGCTGGAAAACTAGGATTTGATGTGGGCAATTCTTCCTCAGGTGGAGAAACAAATGCTGCCGCAAGAACTCGTGTCTATCATAGGAAAACAAAATCTACCAAAGTAGAGATTGGGTATACTAAACATGACGGTGTCGCTGCAGTCCAAATGGAGGTACTTGTAAATGAATCTCCTTGTTGGGCGGCAAAAGCAATTGTAACAGATGTGAATCTTCAAGCGAAGTTTAGAGTGGGAAAGGTTCGTGACGCATATTCGCATTTTGTGGGTGCTTTTTTCTAAATGCACGTGCGTTTATTTGGAAGCGATTTCCGGTTAATGTCCATACTCCTTAATTTAGTAGTTGATCGACTTTTTCATGTTCAATCAATGACATGTAGCTAGGTTGTGGAGACTAGTCAATCAGTTAGGCAGGCAGGAAGGCAGTTGATCTACATTTTCATGTATCAACCAATCACATGTAGCTTGTTTGTGGAGACCAGTTAGTCAGTAGTTCAGTCAGTCAGGCAAACAGGCAGGCACGCAGCTGGCCAGGCAGTAAATTTTTGGGCTTGACAGTCTGGCAAGCAGTCAACTGGTTAGCCAGTTGTTCAGTGCTTCACTCACGCAGGTATGTGTGAGTTTGATGGTCAGACAGACAATGTGTCAGCTATTCACTCAGTCAGTCAATCAATTAGTTTTTCATTTAATCAGCCTGAAAGGCAGGCATCCAGCAAACAAATCAATCAGTCAGTAAATCATCCAGCTACATGTAGTGTGCCAGATGGTTACTCGGCTGGTCAGTTGGCTCTCAAGGCACGCCTCCATCAGCGAAAAGAAAAATCACCAAGATGCTGGAATATTGATCAATCAGAACTTAACAATCAGTTAGTCAGCGAGTGAGTCGGTCGGTCTCCTGGTCATTCAGTCAGTCAATGACTCAATCAGGCTGGCAGTCGGTCAGGTGGTCTTTCATTCATTCAGTTTGTCAATCAGCTTGTCAGCAAGTTGTCTTAATCTCTTGGTTTTACCAAACAGGAATCAGAAGAACAAGCAAACAAGGACTCTGGAAAAGCCGCATTCTCTGGAGCATATCAGAATGATGTGAGTATTAACTTTTTTTGAATGGGAATAAAAATTTAGCCGATTCTCTTCTCTCTGTTGGCTCGAAACGTCAGCTTTGAAACTCTTTACGATAGTCAATTTACGTTATCAACTCAGTTGATAATACTAAATTACTTCGTGGCTGTAGTTTACTTGTAGCTGGGAGTAAAGAGGTTATATTTTCAACATTTTTGGCTTATTTCATTCCTTTTGCCCTAAGAAACAAGGCAACTAATCTTTCCTACCCTCAATAAAGTCTGGCTCCTTATAATCCCTCAGATCATCTCAGTTTCCCGAGTGACTATGACATAATTACAATCAAGGCATTGAGAACATCGTCATTATAGAAAACCAACATCTTCTGCAACTCTTAGGCGATTGAAAATATTGAGACATATTGTTTCTTTCGATCGCCATATAACTGAATTTTGAAATAACTTTTTTTAATGCGTTTTCTCTTTTCTTGTTTGTTTTTTAATCGTTTTATTTTGTATTTTATCAAAGGAGGTGATGTTACTTGGCGAGGATGGACAAAGCAGTTTCTGATATTTTTAGCTTTGTATTTTGATACCTGTGAGAGTACAAAAATGTAGTAAAAGATTTTTTAAGTAGATTTAAAGTGACTTTGTGGATTTTGTGGTGAAGTTCTTCATTACGTCATGTGCTATTGAGCTCTTCATTCAAATGTATGTGAAATAATCGTCTAACTATGCGCAGATCAATCGTCACGGCATTAATTACTTTCAGAACCTTACGGCGGCGTGTTAAAGGATTCGCTTTCCATTGAGGAAAGGGACAAAGTTAAAGGAATTGGGATGAAGACCAGCTAATATGTTTTTTTTATGTTCAAAAGACAGCGGTCGTTCATTCCTTTCTTATGCTCCATCGCAAGAACTACATTTCTGTTCTTTATAACAGTTGCTGCAACTTTTTCCTTTGTCTTCCAAACCGAGAACACCAGTCAGAAAATTAGACGATAGGGTTTCTGGTATCAAATAATGTTTTTCGGAAATGAAACTACGAAACACATCAAAAACGACTAACATAATGCTAAGTACGTCAAAATACTGATCTACATGTACCCGACTTGACATTAGTTATAATACATTACGTTAATGTCGCTCCTTACGAAGTTCCACTGAAAACAGATTGTAGGAAAGATCATTAACTCGTGGTTTTGGTTTTCAGCGATAAAACAAATATTTCACAATTTTCTGTTTTTTCTCAGGTTCAATGTTCTATAGCCCATGTCCTCCTAAGTTGGCTAGCTATTTCTCATTTTCATCTTTAAATAACACTTTACAGTGGGCCGTAACTTTTCCTAGCTTCTCACACATTTCTCCACTTTGTTACAAGTGATCACTCTCTGATTCAATTAGAGCGTGAATTGCCTCAGAGATGCACTCGACTCTCACAAAAATTAGGCGCAGAATTTTTTTCGAGGACTTGATACACAATGTCATGAACCCTCAAATGGGCTTCATCTGGCAAAGTATGAGTACCCAAAGGCTGTTCGTGACTGTGGGGGTGTGCAACATGACCCTTAGTTGGGGGTCTATAGGAAAAAAATTCTTCATTCACTGAGGAACATACTTGATTACCATTGTCGGGCTTTCGTAAAGGGGGAGGGAGGGGGAGCGTTGTGCTCCATTGTGTATGTGGTAAGGGAATTGGATGGAGAAGGATCTTGTGGCCTTAACGCATAAACTTTAGTAGGACTTACATGGATGGTCTTTGAAGCAGGTTCTGAACTTAAATTGGTTACTGATGGGGTTGTAACCGTCACCACTTTTGTTGTTTTTGTTGATACTGATGCAGGCGTGGGCGAGGTGACGTTTGCACCCTCAGTATAAACGGTAAAACACAACGTTATAGCCAAAGCAAGAGTAAAAATCTGAAAGGAGAGAGGTCTTGTGGCTTCGTTCAAAGAGACCACCTCTGCGTATGAGATCCTAGGCTGATACTATTCAGTGAAATTACAAACAAAAACTTCCACAAGACAATACATAGTTCAACTCTTAACAACATAAACAACAAAGCTTTCACACTCGTGGCAAATTAGTCAATAATAACCCACTAGAAGCCTGTTATGGCCTTCCCTTTGTTAGCTACTGTCACTGTCCTCACGCTAAGCTGAGCAAACTTTGCGAGGCGCTTCTATTGTTGTTGTCATACTGGCAGTGGTGTCTCGACGACGGCGCATACAGGAGAACAACGGAGTCACCCCTCCCGCCTAGTTCAAAAAGATATCTAAATGGCATACCTCAAAACGTCTACAGTAGACGACTGCGAGTAGTTGATAATTGATCACGAAAATTAGTACTGTCTGTCACGCTGATGGTTAGAAGTTTGTTGCGAAGTTTCTAACTTGTTTTCCTTCAACTTAAATCCTAGAGGAACTGATAGAATGGTATTCCTGGGGCATCTCTTCCTTAACCCTTTTAACTCCCAGATCAAATTTGTAACTCTCTTTTCAGTCAACCGTACAATTCTTGTAATGTTAGTTCAAAGAATTTAGTATTGGATCAACTAATTATTCCCAAATTAATATTTTTCTTTATTCTCATCACTTATCTAGTTGATATCGTATTGATATTGTAAGGAGAAATTCTGTCTTGGTCACTTATGGGAGTTAAAGGGTTAGGTCCGTTTCCTTCTTAGAGCGGGAAGATTTTGTCAAGTGAGACGTTTAACTCGCACAATCCGATGAGTTTCACAACGGAATTGAGATGTAAAGTTTGCATCATTTCCATTTGAGAGTTGTTATTAATCTAAAGAGGAGAGCAATATTATCCAAATGAAGCTAGGGGAGCATTTCTTTCTGTGTCAAAACAACCCTGGAAAATTACAGTTTTCCTGTTCAACGAATATTGAGTCAGCGTGGTGGTCAATTATCATCGAATTTAGTTTTCTGACCAAAAAGGAACATAAAATTCATACAGAGAGGCTAAATACATTAGCAATATCTTTTTCCAATAAAGCACGCGTAGAGCGATAAATCCTGCAATCTAATTGGTTCCTAGAGCGGACAAGATTTTGTCACATACTGAACGGTAACACCTCGCCAGATCATCATGCCAATCTATTTTCGTGAATTGTCAACGTTTTGGGTCTAGATATGCAATGCAACTGATAAATTGCTTTCCAGCAGAAAAGCGATAGCAAAACGTACTGCACCATCCACCGGGATTTTTACCGACTGCGGGATCTCGTTATCCAACCCTGACAACTGGAACCAGATCTTTCAAGTAGGTAGAGTATAACAGGGTAATTTAGTATTATCAACTAAGTTGATAACGTAAATCGGCCACTGTAAAGAGTTTAAATGCTGACGTTTCGGGCGTTAACCACTCGCCAGAGCGATTGGAGGAATTGTGGGTTGTTTGTGTGTTTATATGCATATATTCACAGTCAGTTATCAACTCAGTTTGATAATTCTAAATTACCTTTTCAAGTATCCGTTGATTTTTCCACGACGTCGATTCTTTGTTTCTTATTTGTTCGAGTTAAGTTAAGTGACAACGCAATTGTGTCCTCGCATTCTGTGTGTAATCAAAGCTATAACAAATTTGAGGAGGTTGTTTGATCATCAGCATCCCGACTCGAGCACAAACAGCGATAGGACAGTTTGCACGTCCTCACAAATGTGTAAAGGGCAGTCTACACATTGCCTCATTTGCAAGCGTCAAGTTCATTCAAAGATGGTATATTGTTGTTAAATTGTCAGTTTTGAATGAGTGTAACCGATGAGCATTTGATAGTCTTCATGAATTGGTAACAGGAAACTGGATCGCATATTCTGTTTGTGATTAACATCTCTTACTCCAGGTTCGCGATTGTCAGATTTTGTTGTTCACTCGTATAGTTACAGACTGACTGAAACTCTACTCAGCCCTATACTTTTATTAAAATGTATACATAGATAATTTTTCCCTATGGATATTTTTTGAAAAAAAAACCAATTCACTAATAAAAAAAAAAAAAATTCGGATAGAACTAGTCAAGGGCCCTTGGTTGAAGTTTCTTCCTGGCGTCGATTATCCAAGAATGTTTGAGGGAGTTTTAAGGAAGGATCACAGGTCTACGATGTTATGATAGACTTTCGGGAGGGTTTTTGTTTTTGTTTTGTTTTGTTTTCTTTCTTTTGCCTTCCGGAATTGTTTAGTTTTATTTCGCCTCCATTTTTTCCTTTTTTGAAATCGAGCTTGAGTTCGAAACCTCACTATAAATAACCACTTAAGTGCACGAATTTATTGAAATTAAACCTTCTCATACAGTTAAATTTGCTCTCGACTATGAATACTAAGGAAGTGTACCATACTACCTAGTAAGGCGTACCATGCTGAGAAAAACTATGCAAAATTAATTGACCGAAAAATATCAGGCCTTTCTCCGTGATCTTGAGCGACATTTTAATAAAAAACCATTCTGATCCCTACGGTCTTTCTTTTTTCTGTCAGGTATAGAACGAAGACATAGCAGTCCTTAAACATTGAAACAGGTTTTTCTTCCTAAAAGTGTTACCCGGGATCCTGTACATGAATGGCGTTCTTTTGTAATCTAATGTTTTCTTCTACATTTTAGAGCTATCGAAGGCAAGATCTCCAGTGGGCAGACTCACTCATACCATGCATACACATCAACACAAGTTTTACCGCTGTTGTCTTCCTCTCCGCGGTCCATCCAATCCTGTCCGTACCATATCTGCATCTCTTGGTTGCTCGAGACAGACAAAGGATTGACGAGGTTGCGAAAAACCAGCTCAGTTGAATTATGGTGATATCCAGGAAGACTGTAAAAGTGTTCTTTGATACCAGAATGACCTTTCAAGTCTTCGGCAGGGGGCAGAATGGCCTTCTTATTGGCATCTGTGATGATTGTCATCAAATTTTCTCCATACCCTGCGTAAGTGCAGCCCCAGTAGGATGAAATAGTTTCATAGTTGCAGCGCACCGACCCTGACCTGTAAATAAGCTTCATTGTCTTCATTCGTCCACTCTTTGTCATGTTGAAGGAACCATACTGATTATCTTTGGCTCCAAAGCAGATGGCTTTTTTACCATTTATCTTTTGCCAGCTCTCTAAGATATAGCAATAGGATAGGTAGATAGTTTTGAAAGTTGATTCAACTGTATTAATAAAAAAAATAGCTAGTCAGCCAATGCATTTCGAATGGTAACTAACAGCCATTTGCAGGATAAATTCCAGTGATAAAAAAGTTAAAACATTGTCCTTCTCGGCGTCGTGATCTGAATAGTTCCTTCAATCTATTCCCATATGCCATGAAAACAATTTAATTTGTATAAGAGAAAGAACAATTCATGTCATTGACTTATCTTCTCCTCGGAGTTTATAGTTCTATTGGAATGACTGAAAACAAACCCCTCTTTTACTATAATTCCCTTTTTTACACTGCGAGGAGATGTTATTTTGGTAGGTTTAAAAAAACAAGTCGGGTTAGGAGAACACGTCAAGGAGGATAATGAATAAGTAATTTAGTTAAACAATTTACCTTTACAATAAGCTTCGATGACCTCGCTATTCTCTTCAGAGTAAATCCAGTATTTCCCGTCAGCCATCTGGTTCCCTTCACTCGCTTCAATCTCACCACAG